AGATAGATAGATAGATAGATAGATAGATAGATAGATAGATAGATAGACTAAAGCTAAACTCAATCCTGCTGTACAGGATTTTTCTCTTTTATGTGATCAGGTGACCAGATATTTGGTGCGAGGGGCCCGACAGATGACTGAAAGTTGAGTTTTCGTGAATTGATTTAGAACTAGGTGGATAAACGGGGATAGTCAAGTTAATTGATGTTCTGGAGCTTGATGGGAGACAGCTGCGTCAGAGAGACAGCCACACCCACAGGAGCGCTTGCACTCTCACTGGAGGAGGACAATAAAAACAGCACACAGAGTAAACAGAAAAAGGGCAGACGACTAAATACAGAGATTTGTGAGTGCCTACTGATCAATGAAAAGATTGTGTGATGTCTTCTGGATGTAGAAAAAAACCCTGTCTCTTGTCAGATCACATTATATTGAATTCTCTTTTAATGTGTTACTAAGGGCCCCAGCCAAGTGCTAATTGCGTGACTTGGGAATGACAATGTGTTGGCTTCCCATCTTTCCCTTTTACCGTCCGACTATTGTGATTTTTTAAAAACTTACTGTGATGGTGGTTTGGAACCCCATCACATCTTTAAATATAAATATTATAGATATATATTAAAAAAAAAAAAAACAATAAAACAAGTGTTGGTTTTATCGGTTTTGGAGGATTTCTGGTCCATGCTTGGTTAGACATAATTTATGTCATCAGCTCTAGTTTCGGACCAGATTACTCCCAAACCCTACTTTTTTTCCAATTTTGGATTCATTTTGGGGGGGATTTTTTATTTTCCCAGTACTAAAAAATGTCCATTTTAATTTCATTTTTGGTTTTCTTATTATTATTAGTTTTTCAGTTGCAATTCCAAAACATTTTCGCCTGTTTGAATAACTCAGTAGAAATCCAATGCCTTTCCCTCTTTTTTTCTTCTACCTTTCAGCTTTTTATCGTCTTCTAGTCCATTCATTCAGATGATTGGCATTGTCACTGCTGTATCATAGGGAGAGCCCTTTGGAGTTGTACAGATGTACAACTAGAACAGTTGATAACAGTTGTACATCTGTACACATTAATGGAAAAAGTACGTGCATCGTGATTATTTAAGTTTGAAGCTCTTTTTATTAACACTTATATTCATTTATCATACATCAGTCGAGACAAACAAGGTATGTTCAGGCCTCCTCATCTGAACCATTAGCATGCACTGCTGCGTTGGAATTTGAAGACAAATAAAAGTTAAAAGATGCTTGTATTATCAGGAAGTGAAATACAAGGCCTAATGACCTTGAGCAGCATTGAAAATACTTGGAGACAGCTTATACATTTCAGACTTATTCATTTGAATTTAGTCTCCTTGCATCTGTACCAGGACAACATTGTGTGGGCCCCTCCAACCTATTTCTTGCCAAATCTCTGTGGCACAGCCATACTCCAGATTTGACCTGGAGCAGCCTCCCAGTCGCGTGACTGTATCTGATCCTCCGACAGAACCTGCCCTCTGGAGCTGCGGCCAAACCTAGCAGAGAGTAGCAACAATCAGCAAAGTGATGTAACGCAGCGTAATATAAAGTTCAAAGAATCAGAGTCCTTTTTCAATAGATTTCCTTTTTAAAGAGTCATGGACATTTTTTACAAACCACTCCTGGTTTATAAAAAAAGAACCCAGTGGATTTAAAAGATAACGTCTGGGTTGCTGTGGTTTTTGGATGCAAACTGTGTTGACACGCCCTGTAATAACTTATATACCATGAGAACAACTAGGCTGAAGACAACAAGTCCAGTTTTAGGTTTAAACCTTTGAGTCTGTGATCTATACTCCAGGTTGAAACACTTTACTGTAACAGGAACATATACCATCCAAGTTGAACATTCAATTCTTTTATTAATTATGGTACTTTAAAGCTCTATTTATCATTAGAGGATAGATAGAATTTGCCAGTTGACTGTCACATTTTCTCCCAACAGCAATGGTAAATATTTGTTCATTTCTTTTTATGCCATTGTGAAGGTTGGAAAGCCACATTTGAAAGCGGAAGACACATTCTTCCGCTTTCCTATGTTTTTGTGTGTGATAAATTCTAGCTTTGAGTTAGCACTGACCTTTGTGGCTGATGGAGAACAGATTCCCTGGTTTCTCTCTGGAATCCGAGCTCCAGAGCTCTCAATACTGAGGCCAGCAGGCGATTGTCAATGCTGTTGTCTCGGTTTTCGCCCTCCTGGAGCAAACAAACATGTACATCCACACAAAAACAACACAAAGCTTAGTATCAGAAAGCCTTTCCTGTGCATATGCAGGAAATCCCACAAACATCCAGTTCAGGGTGCAACATAACTCCCCCAAACTGGTAATTCCAGACAGACTGTCTTGCTGCGGCAAGAAACCTAAAGAAGCAGATATCAGTGCACAAAGGCAAAGAAAAACCTGGTGTGTATATCTTTCATTTTTCATGCAGTTTGTGGTGGTCACAAAATGACAATCTTGCATTTTCAGTATTGATTTCAAACCAAGATCCCTCATTAGACTCTTATCAACTTGGTCTACTGAAATCAAAATGTGCAACAGTATGTTTCATATCATTGCTTGAAAAAAGCTGTTTAAATTCAAACATCTTTCAATTGGTTGTATTATTTCTTCTGATCAAATAAATCACAACTACATGCTGCATCACACAATATGATAGAATTAAAACAGTGACAGGACCTGCTTTCATATAGTGGAGCTGACAGCACATATTTAAAGTAGACAGGCAGAATATTTAGCTCAAAGCCATGTGTGTCTGAGTTATGATCAAACTCACTTAAACTAACTTAAAGTTCATTTGGAACTGGTTATATCGCAGAAATACTGACAAATCTGTTATCTTGTTAAAAACATATTTTAAAAAATGGAATTTGAAGTCAGGGAGTAAAGTGCAGACTTTACTGGAGTAAAATGTTGTCTCACCAGCAGGTGTTTCACCATGTTCTCTTCTGAGCTGCCTGGCAGAATGTCATTTATGTCCGAACCGCCTTGGACATGAAGACCATGACTGACTCCAGCCATCACCATCACCAGAGCCAGAAGAGTGGCCACTGCAGCATTGTCCATGATCCCACAAACAAGAGAGGATAGATTAATGCTGATGAAAAAGAGAAGAGTTGGTTAGATGTCCACGTTGACTTAGAAAACTAAAGAGGGACTTGTCCTTCTCAAGCTTAGGTCTCCTCTTCATGCAGTGTACTTGCTGTCTTTCAATAAGACTCTCTGGGTCTTATATATACCTCTAGGTCATTGGTGTAAAATCCCCATGGGGGCCTCGAAAAATATGTTACTTTACGAAGGGGGAACAGGGGACATGACGGAAGAAGAAGGGACTCTCAATATGAGACTTAAGCAGGTCCATTTAGTAGGATCAGGGCATTAGTGATGACTGAGAAGAGCCAGAGTGCGTTATTATGTGCCCTTAGGGTAGTACAACATCAACTCTCCCGGTCATTAAACATTAAACCCTGCAAATGGCCCCGGAGTCACCAGTCCCTGTTGTCAGTTCAAACTGCATGTAAAGACAAACATATTGAAAAAGTAATCCTGCAGTAATCCTGCATGAAAAGTGATTAGTCAGAAAAATGTCAGTGTAAAGCTACAAAGAAATGAGCTGAGCATCAATAACACACAGCAGACAGTGTGTTAAGGTTCAGTAAGATTTCATCTTCATCTCACTATTTTTTTGTGATATAGTTGCTTATCTGCCGATGAGTGAAAAAACAGTTTTGTGGATGTTCCTTTTGTCTGATAAATTCCTAATAAGCATGCAATTGGTAGTTTTCCGGAATCTTGGCCAAAAACATTTTCAAATTGAATCTTGCGGAACCAATAGATGACTTGCAGGATTTTAAAATTCACACAACATTACTGGTAAGCACCAAGCCGCGTGTACAGGGTTTTTGTGTTCTTTCTGAAAGACCGTTGGTACAGTGTGTCTTAAAATGACACTCTGATAAATGTTAGTTTCCCTCATCTTCTTATATGTCAAATTAAGGAATTTTACTCTTTGTTTATTGAGTGACTCGGGCTTAATTGAAGCCATTTGTGCTCAGTTTGTCTTCACTGTTGTGTATTTCAGTGTGTCCATGTCAGTGTATTATATTAGTCACTTCCCTTACATAGTATAATACGTCAACGGTTTTGGCTCATCAGTACCTAATGGGTGACAATCGGCTTAAACCACACAGCCTTACTGGCACTGTTTAACTGCCATGGCAACTGGGATGACATCTGAAGGCTTCAGAAGGGAATTAGATTTTATTTCTATAATTAGATCAGAAACATTTGGATTTGAGAACAATTTAATTTTACTCATTATAATGTGAAATATAAAAAGAAGCATTTACGAATTTTCTATTTTGCTTTAATAAAGATTTTTCTGTGTTAATTAGCTACACATAATGTTAGTTGTGTAATATGATAATTATCAGACACTGTCTATGGATGAAGTTACAGGGGCCAGTAAGGATGTGTTTTTGTTTTCATAATTATATTACCCACTATCAATTTTATACAAACATTACTTTAACAAAACAGTGCCCTCTAATCTATGTGATCAGTGTGTGGTAAAAGTCAACCACCTGTGAGACCAGCTTTGTATGCAGACAGGAAAACAAGTTCATTGCCTATACAGAACTTTGCTGCTTAAACCAAGAGCTGTAGTCCAAATGATATAAAAAATTACATTATAAGTGGTTTGGTGTGGCTCCTCGAACGAGCAGGGGGAAAAAAGAAAAAAAAAAGCCACTACTCGCCAGTACAGAAGACTCTTGTTAAATAATGCATATATAATACAAAAAGTGCTCAACACTGAATGTTTAATTCTCCCACGAGGATTTGACTCTGGTTAAGTCTAAATTCCCGGTTCAGCAAAAACACGTACCTGAGCATTTTGTCTGTCACTTTAAATCTTCTATTGATTAACATTGATCAAAACACACGCTGGATACTATTGACATGTCATTGTGAAATTCATGTTAAATATTGAAGTTGAAAAATACTTAGATAACAATTATCAAACTGCAAAAAAAAATCTTTACACAGTCTATAAGAATACAAGTTAAACAGCCAGCAACTTGTTCATTTTCTAGCTAATTGACTTCAACACAATCTAAAGAAAGGGTTCTTGTGGGTTTGACTAAATCATCCCTGCTTGCAAAAAGTGCAGACAGACTTGAGTAAATGCTCAGGTCAGTCTGACCGTGAGCTGCTGTGCACAGCTGACTGAGTTTTTAAGAAACAGAATGTGTAGACTGATGACAAAACCAAGGGCTTTTATTCAGTGTTACCCAAAGGTTTGTTTTTCCACAGGTTTAAAATCCTGCAATTAAACATCTTCATTGAGAGGACCTATATTCAAAACTAAACAAAAATCTATAGTTATGTACACATAAGATGAACACTGTGTATAATGCTCAATTGTATGAGGTCATCAGCAGTCATATACAGTCAAAAAGAGCAATATTTGATCAAATGACAATAGTTTACCTGTTTTCCATCTAAACCACCTTAGCTACAAAACCCTTACAAGTGTTTTTTTTTGCATTTTAGTTAATCTACTCTCTTTTTTCGTCGTGTATTTTCATCAGAGAGACCATGTGTTGTTCTTGCCCTTATAAAAACGTATACTTTATTAATGATGACAAATCATGCCTTAAAAAAACAATATTCTATATTTCATTGCATATGTCTATTTTTTTATTTTCCTGTTTCTTTTGGCTCCATCTTGTGTTGAATTATTTAACTGCAGAGCTTATATCGAAGGTCAGTTCCTAATTTTCATTGACCGAAAATCCACTATGACAAAATCAAAGTTGTCTGACTCCTTACGTTTTTATTTACAATGTCGAAACAAAAAAGTCCACTCAAAACAATAATAAATAAAAGACATCTTCTGAAAAAAAAGGGCAGACACTAGAACAGCAAAATTATCTTCATGCAGCTAACTCATACGATTGTCCAGCAATACTTAAAAATCAAGCTGTCTCATCATGCTTTACAGCCACATATTCATCCCAAATGATATCCAACATGAGTTTATCTGGTTTCAACTTTTTCTGCTCATTTAGTAATCTTCTGCCCGCTCCTTATGTTTCTTCAGTCTTGGAGAGATGTTCAAACTGTCCACCTGTGTCCAACAGATGTTTCAGGGCAGCATCATCTAATTAGGAGTAGCCTTGTCTTTTCCAAGCAGCAGTCTGCCACTTGTACAATAAGGCACAATCAATAAATTCAGTACTGTAATTATTATACTGTTAACGTAAGAGTAGGATAGTATGAACAGTGTTACAAGCGATTTATGTAATTCAGCAAGACAATTGAAAATTATGTAATATTCTATAGTTTTTTTTGTCTTTCAATGAAATGCACCTTCAAAAATACATCTCAGCAAAAAAAAAAAAAAAATCTCTTGAAAATCTCATGTTTCAAAAATGTCTCCTGCAGTAATATCTCATACTTTACCTCTTTTTTAAAATTATTTATATAAGAATTACAG